ACACACACACACACACACACACACACACACACACACACACACACACAGCTCTCTTCCCAGGAAGGGGGTGGGGTGGGTCAGGGTATCAGGAGAACATTTAGACCATGGCAAAAATTACATCAGTGACAAGACACAGCCAAGACAGAAGCATCTTTCACAGAGTGAAAGTCTATGGTACAAGCAGAGCAAGCGTGTCCAGGTGACACCCTGAGATGTCCTGGACAGCAAGATGAGAGCATGGGCTAGGGAGGAAGACCCAGGGCGATGATGGTGCAATGCAAGTGTACCTTAGGCTGGAGAAGCCAGCCACAGCCTGTGGGATAGAGACAGGCAAAGAAAGGAGGAAGGGAGGGGCCAGCATCCTGATGCAGGTGGCATGGGCACCTCAGGGGTTCCATGGAAGTGACAGGAGAGAAGATACAGAAAGTGAGGTACTGTGAGCCCCTTACAACCAAACCCATAGCTTCCCCTCCCCCAGCTACATGTAGTGAAGTTCCATACTGGCTTTAGCCCCCTCAGTTAGTGTCCTGAAAGTCATGTCCCCAGAGCTCTGAGTGAGAATCAAAGCAGGATTCCTTCACCACAAAAGGACTGGCTTGTCCACCTGGGCTCATGGCTCAGGTGGACACATGTGACTCCTTAAATCTAAGTAACTACAAGAGACAGCCCCAACAGCTAGGAGGTGGTGATTAGCAGCTGCTCCAGCCTTCCTCAGTTTTCTTCAATGGTAATAAGATTTAAGTAGCAAAGCGCAGGGTCCATGAAGCTATCCTGCATTGGTACGGGGTTAGGGGTGGGTGGGTATGCTCAACTGTGCCCACTTTGAGGGAAGCTACATCCTCACTTGCATCATGCTCAGGATCCCCACTTTCCCCCACTTACCTCGGGTCAGGGAAACACTGTCTTGACACGAACCACTCAGAATTACCCAGGGCCTTCCCATGCTGATACACACATGGCATTGCATAAGCACACTCCACCCCTGATCCTTAGCACTTGCCCTTTGCCAGAGCCCAACTATGGAGAGCACCACTTCTCTAGTCTGCACAGAGGGCAGGGAAGTGAGGGACCTGCCAAACCTCCTCCCCTGCCCTACTGCTAACAGACATGCAGAGCAGGGCCATGTTACAATGCCAGTATCTGCCTGCAGCCTCGTCCCTGAAATGGGAAGGAGGAGGCCCAGCAGAACAGGCCAGAGCCTAGACTTCTCTGGGCTATTTCACAGCTCTGCCTGTATGTCTGAGCTGGAGGCGTGGAAAAATGCATGTAAGCAGTCATCCTTAAATACGTGATTCTAAGTGACTGAGACCTAGGTTCCCAGGTGGGGTGTGCCACAAGTAATCATGTGCCAACCACCACCCCTCCTGTGTGGTACAGTAGTGAGGCACTCTCCCTCACGGTGGTCTGTAAGTTTCATGGAAGCACCCCAAGGTTAAGTGGCATGGATGAGAAAGATGTAGGAGTAATAGACATGTATGATGATGACAGGGAGAACTAGGAAGAATTAGGAAAAATGAGAGGGAAGACAAGGAATGTGTTCAAAACTGAAGGCAGCTGGTCTTAGAGCAGACCCTTTCCCATCTCTGAGTTTGAGAGCCTCTAGCCTCCAGCCTCTTGGGGAACCCACTTCCCACACAGGGCTTGGTACACAAGGATGGTCAACCCATGTTGACCTCCCATGCGCTCTGTCATAGGACTACCCCAGGTGACAGTGGGACTTTGAAAATGATGGAGAGAGTGAGTTAGATACCAAAAGAAACAAGATGGCAGGAAATCAAGGAAGAAAAGCAAAGCTGGGAAGATCTGTCTGGGAAAAGCTTCATTATGTCCCCTGGACAGTTGGCTGCCCCACAGAACCCTCTACCAGAAAGCGTTGCTGCGGGCCCACGGAGAACAATTCACGTGGAAAGAAAAACAGACATGGGACAAGCAGACAGATCGATGTGCGCCTAGGACAGTCCCTGTGGAACTCACAGGACCCCACCCCACCCCCATGCAGGGCCTCTCATGCCTCCCTTAGGCAGAGCAGCCGGCACTGCCGCAGCAGCCTGGCCCTGGCCCTGAAGGGACGCCCGTGTCTGTTCTCCTAAGGCGGCCCTGCTGCAGCCTTGCTCATGCACAGGCTGAGGGCGCTCTGGTCCTCCAAGTGGTTTCCCACATTGGCAACCCGAGAACTAAGAGGCCAATTTGGGTTTTAAGGTTGAATCTTTGAAACAGGAGGGTTTGCACCAGAAGAAACAGAGACAGAGGATCCAGGCTGTGAGGCTTGCCCTGTTACCCAAGAAATGGAATCCAAGGACTGCAGGTAGGGGTTTCTGGGTTTGAGATTTTAAATTTTCCACTTGTGAGTTTAGAAGACAACACTTCTCTTTTTCATGGAAAGGCAAATGCCCCAAGTGTCATCTCTTTAATCGTATTGTAACTTCTTTGTCAGCCATGGTGTCAGAAGCATATGGCTTTGGGAAGTTACAAGGTATCACCCTCTTCTTTGCTTCCTCACTTCAGAAATTGCTTTTGATCAGGTTGATGCACGGATGTCAATTTGAATTCAACAACTCCCATGAGCTTGTAGCTAGCGCTTCTCTGCCTTCTTTGGCTAGCTCTGGGCTAGGACTGCATGGCTACTTGCAGTTCTCCTTGACCTCTGACCTGGCAGCTGCAGTACTCCTTTCTCTTCCACCAAGAGGAAATGTGAACACTGCCCAAACCCCTATCCTGGCCAGTTCCCTAGGGACTGTACAGTAAGTTAGAAGCAGCATTAACACTACTACCAGCAATTAAAAAACAAAATAACCAAAAATAACAAAATTAAAAAAACGCTGCAGCAATGACAGTGGCCTGGGCAGAGTGAGCGAGCAGGTTGCAGGGTTACATACCTCCTGGAGTTTGGGGCAAGGAAAAGGAGAGCCAAAATCATGGAAACATATAAATGAGGGAGAAAAGAAAATTAAAACAAAGAAATCAAACCCGATTCCTTAATCTTAAAGTGCAGCGTACCAGTCATATTTATGTATGCCTGGAGAGGGAGGCAGACCTGAAAACACTGATGAGTAAGGGACCACCATGTGTACGGCAAGACTGGAGGCATTACCCACACCTGGCCTAACAGTGCTGCAAATCCATTTTTGTAAGGCCAGTGTTTGCCAGACTCTTCACAACCCAGAGCTAAGAGGGGGGTGTGCACTTTTGTGAAAGTAAATGTCCTTTTTAAGACACCCATCACTTTTAGAAATGTGTGCAAGGATGCACACATGTACACCCACAGATACATGTATGCATGTACACAAGAACACACATGCTATGGCTCTCTGCATCCAGGGACATATACAGACAACTCCAGATGGCACAAAGCCCTACCCTGTGCAGCACACAGACACACAGGACTGAACCTCAGTGTGCCACAATGGAGACACCTTATCAAGAGTCTAGGAGGTTAGGAAAGTGAGGCACTGGCCCCACAATGAATGAGCCCCATATTGTCAAACCTTTACTCTCTGGGATGAGGCCTTGCTCTACCAACAAGCTGGCCCCAATTTCTTTGGCTCTAGGGAGTCTCCTGCTCTGTCTCCTAAGTGTCTGGGACTACAGGTGTGCACCATTGCACTCAGCTTAAATTTTTGATTTTTAAAAATATAGGATGCCTCATGAATTTGCATGTCATCCTGGTACAAGAACCAAGATAATCTCTGTTCTAATTTTAGTATCTCAGCTGTCAAAGCTAACACTTAGCATTCACATGGAAACAAATTTCCCTGGAGGGGGAAGTAAATCTACACTTAAACACACTTTTGAAATTTCCAGCACATTTCCCCTTCACTCTCTCTGCTGGGCAAGAAGAATGTGGAGCAGAAGGTCGCCTGTGGGTTAAACGTTTCAGAGCCTTTTCTTCAGACCTTCTGCTTAGAGATTACTGACTTACGGCCACGTCCAGACCCTGCAAGGCTCTAATCAGTGAAGTGGTGCTTGAAGGGAATTTATGCACCGTCATGTATAAACACAGGCTTTGGGCCTTTGAAAGGAAATGTCAAGCCTACGCTTTCTGGGCAAGTTAACCCCAGAGGGTGTGTCATCTTAGATCTGCTGGACGCTGTCAGTAATGGCCAAGAGTGAGACGACCGCTGACCACAGGGCAAGTGGCACAGATGAAAGAGGAGTGGCCCTAATGGCATCTGCCCCACTGATATGGGGTTCAGCTCATCAAAGCCAAGGCAGAAGGAGACTGGAGCATGCTCTCTAGAGACTTTTCTCAGTCTGAGAATCAGCAAAGCAATCACAGGTGGACATAAATGTGCATGAGAACCCTTTTTTTTTTTTCTCTGTTTGGTTACTCTGTCACCTTCCTGGTAAGGCATGACCATAAATCTTAACCATGCAGGCTCACTTCTGGCAGAGGGACAAGAAATGCACCTGCGGCCTTTCTGAATGACACAATCATCAATGTGGCTGATTGGGACTGGAAAGGGGCCCACTGCCAGAGCATGAGGAAGAGTGCCGTGGATTGCGCTGCAGCCAAGGGCTCTAGGTTTGCCATGCACACTGCCTGTGGGAGCCAGATGCAGAGGGAAGTGATGATGCACTGGGTGGGCAGGAGTGCCAGGGATAAATCTGGGATGGGAAGTAAAGAGATGGATATGGCTGGTCACCCTCCCAAGAGTAAGGGGGGCAGAGACGGGGATGGACCAGGTCCCTGGAAAGTGCCTCAAAGAATATGGTCAGAATATGGTCATCTATCTATTTGGGAGTGGACATACAGGGCCCGGATACATATGAACAATGTGTATAAGGACAGACTCTGTGTCCAGAAGTCTCTGTAGCCTGCCCCCTTCTCCACCCCCCAGGCCTGTGAGCATACAGTCTTCCTTCCTGAGCTTTGTTGCAGGGTCCCCAAGCCGGGAGAGGTGACTTACCGAGTTTCAACAGCCAACCTTCTCGGTCTGGATTGAAGAACGTGTGAGTGAGGTCGTTCCCATCATCTTCTGGGATTTTAAAGGGTTCGTTTTTTATGCTCTCATAGAGATTCTGGGATAAAAGACGACATGGCGTGTCTGATTCCAGAAGTACCTATCTGCCCTCCCTCTCTCTCTACTCATTTCACAGGCATTCCCTGTGAGCCTGGAGTAAGGCACAGGAACTAGAGAAGAACATGGCCATTTTCTACTCTCCAGCAGCTCACAGGGACAAAAATAAGATGCCTGGTAGATAATTAAGAGGAAAAAAATAGCAGCTTGGAGCCTGTTCAAGCCTTTAGTTTTAGATTTAGAACCATTTCCCCTTCCTGATTTCTCAGCTGGCCTTTGTGAAATTCACATTTTAGGTGAATTAAGAGAGCACTCAGCAAGTTATCCTTCTGTTTCTTCTCCTACAAAAACGATCCTGTTCCAAGTGAATGCTTTGCCAGCTGAAATGAAGCCGCTCTGGCCCTGCTCACCCGGAGCAACTCCTCGGGCAGGTCTCCTCCATCATTGATGCCGCGATTCATGGCAATGAACCTCTCCACCGTAGGCTTGTCTTTGACGTTAGGGTTGTGTAGGCTGGTGTTCAGCATTATGATTGCAAAGGAGAGGACATAGCAAGTGTCTAGAGAAGAGAAGGGCAGCGCGTGAGAGCAAAGAAAGTATCTCTCCATGGCAGGAGACACCAAGTAAGACCAGGGATACAGAACCATGGGCAGGAAGAGTGAGTGAGCCAAGTGTCCACATGTTCCCAGGCTTATGCTCCTGAAAGGGGCAAGGCACATGAGAGCTCTGAAGACACTCATGTTTTCAGACATAAGGAACAGGCAGACAATAGGATGGCTGCGCATGGTAGAGCAGGCCTTTACTCTCAGACTCAAGAGGCAGATCTCTTGTGAGTTCCAGTACAGTCTGCTCTACAAAAGGCCAGCTAGGGATACACAACAAAACCCCAAACCAATACAACCTACAAAAAGATAAAAATTACCCACAATTCTATTTAGTAATATTTGTCCTGCTTTATTTTTTCTAAACAAACGTGAGCATAAAAATCACTTTACTGATTATCCCCTGAAATTACACATGGGATAGATACTTACATAAGGGAATAAGTACATATTTATACATACACATAAGATAGATACATACAGAGAGGATAGGTACATACATATACACACATACACATGGAATAGATACATAGGAGACACATACAGACATACACATGGGATAGATACATACATAGGAGATAGCTATATACATATATACACATAGGAAAGTACATACATAGGGTGTAGGTACATACATATACACATACATACAGAGGGGATAGGAACACATATATACACACATACACACAAGATATATACACATATAGTCGACAGGTATATACATATACACACACATACATATGCTTTCTTTTGTTAACCTTTTAATTTTCCCATGCCAACATCTTCGTAAGAACGAGATATTTTTTCTTTTAAAGACAAGGTCTTGCTTAAGTAGCCTAGCTAACTACATTCATAATTCTACTTCTGCCTCCTGAACAGCTAGTATGACAGACACATGCTACACAGCAGCCAGCTTCTAGAGACATGCTTAATGGTTACATGTTTTGTAATTCTGAATCCAGGGCCTCCTGCACATGAGGCAAGTACTCTACCACTAAGTCACACTGGGCACTTATTGCACCTCAGTGGTGGTCTTCTGCATGTTTCCAACTCACTGCTACATACACCATTTAGTAACTATTCTTGGCATGGGCCCGGCCTCTTGGCTTAGCAATCCTCCACTGCCAAGAAGAGACCCCCCTGGAAAAAGCCCCCTGTGCGCACACATGCGTGCACACACAGGCTCCCCGCACTTACCTGTGGACTGGAACACTCCATTATTGCACTGACAGTACCGCTGGGCAAAGGCCTCCATCATCCGGTCAATCTTCTGAGCCTCTCCAGGGAGCCGGAAGCTCCACAGGAACTGCCTGAAGGTGAAGAAGGAGCATTGCTTTGACCTGTTCTGCTGCTGGGACCTTTACTATCAGAGGGTAAAGGAAGGTGAGGGGCTTCAGTCCACTTTTACAGAAACTGAACCAAAGCAAGTTTAGCCATGCCTATCACTATGGCCTTAACTGAACTGAGATGCCAAGATTTTCCTATTCCAAAGAACAGGCCCGTCTTCAGAATTACAACAGAATTTTAAAAGATGTCAATCACTTAAAATGAACTCTCAGGTAAGGATTCATTCAGAGCAGTCACAATGGAACCCTGTAAGAAGTTACATGGGCCCACAGCCACAGTTTAGTTCTACAATACTTAATCTACTAAAATCATAGCTCAAAAATAATCTCAGAACTTATACCACAGCAGAGAAAATTAAAAAGACAATGTCTTTTAAAGGCACAAAATAAACTTGGTTAAAAAGTAGAGATAGGTAGTGGTGCACACCTTTAATCTCGGCACTCGGGAGGCAGAGGAGGGCGGATCTCTGTGAGATCGAGTTACAGGCCAGCCAAGACTACGCAGAGAAACCCTGTCTAGAAAAACTTAAATAAGTAGACAGATAAAGAGATAAACAGACAGATAAATAAATAGATAAATGAATGAATGAATGAATGAATGAATGAATGAATGAATGATAAAATAAAATAAAGTTGAGCCGGGTCCAGGACAGCCAGGGCTACAAAGAGAAACCCTATCTTGAAAAACCAAAACAACAAAACAAAATTAAAGCTGATTTTTTTCTTTTTTATGAAAGACAAAGCTACCTAGTCTATTTTAAGAACTTAAAGGGTTTTCTATTCTGAACAGCAGAAATAATTTCAATATTTAAACACTGAACAGCCCCTTCACCGCCAAGACTGAGAAACAGTCCTAACAACTGCCTCCCCACTCGTAGGCGTGTACACGGCCTCCCTGGGACATTCACAACCGCCTCCAGCGACAGGACCCCGATCACACAGCGCAGGGGAAGGACACGCTCTCGCCCAAGGTGCCAGGCTGACAATACCCACCGCAAGGCTTGGACGAGGTTCAGGTCTGTGAACTCGTGCAGCTCCACAAAGGCGTGCAGGACCTGGATGCTGAACTCATCTCTGCCAGAGAACAGATGAGAGATGGAGGGAACAAACGTCAGACCCCTGACACCAAGCGGATGGTATTCCCAGAGTCCCCGGCCATCAGGCCTCCCAAGCCTGGCCATCCACAGTCAGGAGGACATCAGACTGGCTCTGCTTACTAACTAAATAAGCAAGGCACCTCCGTGCCCTGGACAGGTAAGTTGATACCATTATGGCTACTGCTGCCCTCATACCCGGTCACCCATCCCATGAACTTCGCTCCTAAGGGAGCTTATTTCTTCCCATGATTCTGACCACCCTCTCTGAATGCCTCACCTCTCCCCCAGGTAGTCACCAATGGCTGTTTTGTTGAGCCCCTCCCCTTTGTACAGGAACTGGGCAATATCTTCACAAGTGTTCTTCAGCAGGTCATTCTCTATTAAGAACTGGATCCCCTACAGAAAGACCAGAAAGAGCCAGTGACGCTGGCCTGCAATGGCTGGAAATGGAGGGAGGGCAAAGGCCTCACTGAGTGTGGCCCTGGAGCCTGTGTCCAATAAACAACACAAGTGGACACAAGGGATGGAGACATTTCAAGGTTAGGAACCAGAGCCCCAGATTCAAGTCAACATTTACTTCAGAAAAAGCAGCTTAGGAAAAAAAAAAAAAAAAAAAAAACACCTCTGGTTTCTACCTGATCACTAAGCCCCACCTTAAGACTCTGGGCTTCTGTCACTTCCTTTTCTGCTCACCTTTTTAGGATCCATGTTAAATTTCTTCCTGCCCATGGCTACCTGTTTGTTCCTCTGCATGTTTTTCCTGAAAGACAAGTGTAGCCATTAGTGCCCTGGCAGCAGGAAGTTCTGGGAGGCTGGAGCTGTCCTCACGAGCAGCCAGTGACAGTTTGGGAAGATTAATCTAGAAGGGTACTGAAGCAATTTGTCCAACTAAGCAAGGTCAGATGAAGCCCTGGTCCAGGCTCATGCTCATTTGCCTCTTTTTCTCTATATTCATGGATTCTCTTAGAATGTTTTTTTTTTCTTTAAACGTTGTTTAAATATTTCTTTAAATATTGTAGAATCTGCCTACTTTAAGTGTATGCCTGAAAGGCTTTTAGTAAGGTTACTCAGTTGTTCAACCATCCATTACCATAACTAGTTTTAGAACATTTTCATCAGTCTGACAAAATTCCCCACTCCCATTTCCAGTTCATCCACATTCCTATTTCAACCCTGGAGAACTCTCAATTTACCTTGTGAGCACAGATCTGCCTAATTCTGGACTTTTCATACATACAGAATCATGGTATAACTGGACTTTTGTTCTGGGCTTCTTTTGCTTAGCACATTGTCTTCACAGTTCATCGGTTCAACACTCCTTTCTATTTCTATATGTCCACCTTCTGTTGGCTTTTCAGATGAGAAATGCAGAGTCCAGTGTGGGGTCATCAGGCACAGGGCTGCTATCAGTATGGGTCCACCCTATGTGGACATGCTCTCCTTTGTTTTGGGCAGAAGGGTCAAGGTTGTTCTAGACGTGTCATGTAGTACTTTTATATTTAACTTTTTAAGATGCTGTACAAACAAGCAGTAGTATTCTGAACTGTGTATCAGACTGAACAAATGATTTTCACCATGATTCTCAAGTTGTGGTTCTGAGACAGCCGGAGAGTGAGTCAGACACAGAGGGACAGCTCTCACTCACATACATGGCTCTGGGCCCTGCCAGAGCAAACTCTTACCCAGTGCATCTGTGAAGGGCTCAGGGCTCCTGCAGCCCACAGATGAGCTGAGTTACAGATTCTGGGCCACTGAGTGACTCAGAAGTTTTAGGGCTACAGTCTAAATGGCCTTTTTGATCCTCCTGTAGATCTGATGTGCATTTGAGAAGCACCGACACAACAGCAACAGTAATTTGATGGTTTCTGAACAAATGAGCTGCTACAAATAACTTATTGTCTCCCCACCCCACTCCTGGAGCTGAGCTAAACCTCCAACACCACTTATTTGTTGTCTAAGGAGCATATCAGCACTGGTAGAAAGTCTTTCTTTTCTTCTTTCTTTTTCCTGGTTGAGACAGGGGTTCACTCTGTAGCTCAGGCGGCCCTGAAACTCACAGCAATCCTCTTGCCTCCACCTCCCAAGTGCTGGGTTACAGGTGTGGGCCAGCATGCTTGGCCAGGCTGGCCTAAGGTCTGGAACTGGAATGAGTTTCAGGTTATCTAATCACATTTTCCCCAAATCCAGGAATGTTATTTCAAGAAAAAAACAAACAAACAAACAAACAAGAAAAAGCTACTGGGAAAGCCCAGTAGTAGTAATGCACACCTCCCAGCATTTGGAAGGCAGAAGCAGGCAGATCTCTGAATTCGGGGCCAGTTTGGTCTACAGAATGAGTTTCAGGACAGTTAGGGCTACATAGAAAGACCCTGCTCAAAGAACAAAGAAAAAAACAAAGAAGCTGTTGGGTGATTTCCTATATGAGTGTGAAATACTTGGAGGCCCTACAGCATTAAGGCACATGACCATCCACAAGGGACCTTGGCATCCTTTGACTTACTTTAGTCCCTTATGGAAGCTTCCTGTGCCTCTGGCAAGCCCAGAACCCAGAGCTCACAGGGGTGACTGGCTAACCTCACTGGTTTCTCATGAATCACCTCCTCACTAGCCATCCAGTGTTGCGGCTTATGACTGCCTGACATACTCACAGGATGTGGCTGGCTGAAGTTCCCAGTTCTCCATGAGTCAGCTCCTGTCCCTACCTGTCTAGCACTGCTGTTTATGACAGCTGGGATAGTCACTGTAGGTGGCTGTCTAGCATCATCAGTGCTTATGGGTCAGCTCCTGTCCCGGCTTCAGCAGCCTCCCTTGTGCACACACCAGCTGTATCAAGCATGTCAACTTGAGAAACCTGTAAGTCTCATAGTGTTATCCTGCCTCTATTCCTATACCATGTTTGGATACTGCTACAGAATGGCGAATCAGGCCTTGGACTACAAGCATGGCAACCACCTGTCGAGAAGCCAGAATGAGTAAAGTCTGACTACACAGATGCCCAGAATCCACAGAATAGCTCCCCTTTCGGGATCTTTAATTCTGGAGAACCAGCTTAAACTTCTGAGTTTAAACCATAAATAACTCAAGTATGGCTCATGAAAGTAGGGTTTTTTCTTTATGTTGCCTTTTTTTTTAACATTTTTATTTACTAGTATTGTGTGTGTACACCAACAAAATGCGTGTGAAAGTCAAAAGACAGCTTTGTGCAGTCAGTTCTCTATTTCCACCTTTACACAGGTTCCAAAGTTGAACTTGGATCAACAGACTTGCAAGGCAAGCCTCTTTATGTGCTGAGCCATCTTGTCAGCCCTTATATGTTATCTTGAAGGGGCTTCTTCATGCTTTAAGTTTCGTAATGACAGTGTTGCTTGTTTACTCAAAACTGTGGCATCCTCTTGTCTACTCAGATAGGACGTCTCCAAACCAGCCCTGATTCTCTACTGCATGACAGACAGATCAGGACTCCATGGAGCAGAGAGCTGGCTTTCTTAAAGTCACTAGCTGAGTGTTCCCAGTGCCTAGCTGCTCACAGTGCAGGGGCCTTCAGTGCACTGGGACTGTGATAACCCATAGGACCTGGAGGAGACAGTATCCTGAATTCCAAGTATGTGTGCAGGCGCCAAAGACACAGAAAGGAAGTACTCTGTGGTATTAATCATGGTTCTCTCTCGGCTGCTGACTATAGGAAATCTGTTTTCTTCATGCTTTTCCATCTTTTACCAGTTTACTGCAATAAACATATATTCCTAGATAGTGAGATGGCTCAACAGGTAAAGGGACTTGTAGCCAAGAAGATAATCTAAATTTAATCCCTGGGCCCACATGGTAGGACAGAAGCAGCTCCAGAAGGTTGTTCTCTCTTCCACCTATGTGCTGTGGCATGTGTGCCTACTTCCACTAAATAAATGAATAGATAGATACATAAGTAAGTAAATAAATAAATTTGATTTTTAACATTTAAAACATCCACTTAGAACCAGGAAAAAGTGAATAATTTATGTTTTTATCCAGGGATAGTTTTGTTCGGTGCAATGCTAGCATCCTAAGTGCCCACTCACAGTTCTTCCAGGTGTGCCTGCCCTGGCGACCACCACTCTCATGAGGCCTGCTCCCATCTTTCTGCTAGGTTCTGCTCAGATCTCTGTCTGAAGCCTGTTAGCGTTTCTGATGGTACAGCCTGGTTTTTTGTCTGTTTGTTTGTTTTGTCTCAGAGCTTCATGACGGAAGTATGTATTCTGTCCACGTGGTACTGAGCACACATGAACAAGTGGCTTCTCTAGTCTGTTTGTGGCGCCTGCACCTGCTACTGCAGTGGATCAGTGCGCTCCTCTGATACTACCGAATAATGGCGCACTGCCCCAGACTCCTTCCGTGTTCACCTACTGGGAGACACTTGGGAAGTTCCTAGCTTCGTCATTTTAATAGGAGTGCTGGACTGGCTCTCTGTGGAGGACAAAGCCCCTTCATCCCTAACAGCACTGCCCATACAAGTTTAAAATAACAAACCAAAGGACCTTATGAAGCAGACAGGGAGGCTTAGGCTTAGGCAAACACAGACACAGAGGGAACTGAAAGCAGATTGCTTATCAAGTGAGGCAGTTAGAACCGGCCACTGACATCTTGTCATTTTACACTGTAATTGTTTTCACATTCTTCTCCCTTAAGCATAAAGAGGTGCAAATGAACTTGATGTTACACCACACACAGGTGGGCACACCAGCCTTCGGAAATCCTATTAGCAGTGCTTACTAAGCTTTTCTGTTAAACAAAAGTAACAGAAACTTAAAAGATTTAGAGAGTGGAGAACAAGAGGAAACTACAATAATCTACACAACAATTTATGAGCTCTTAGGCTAGCGGTTCTCAACCTTCCTAACGCTTCGACCCTTCAATGAAGTTCCTCATGTTGTGATGACCCCAACCATAAAACTGTTTTGTTGCTATGTCATAACTAATTTTGCTACTGTTATGTGTGATAATGTAAATATCTGATATGCAGGATTTGTGCTATGTGACCCCTGTGAAAGGGGCACTTGACCCTCAAAGGGGTTGTGACCCACAGGCAGAGAACCACTGACTTAAGTTTTTTCTAGTGCCTTTGAATTTTCTGGTTTAGTTTTGTATACATAAAAGGTTTCCTATGGCCAGGTATGGTGGAGCATACCATTAGTACCAACAAAGGCAGAGGCAAGCAGATCTCTGTGAGCTCAAGGTCAGCCTAGTCGCCATAGTAATTTCCAGGACAGCCAGAGCTATGTAGAAAGACTATGTCTCAAAAAAAAAAAAAAAGGACAGAAAGAAAAAGAAAGTTTCCTATGTTCAGACCCTTGCAGCGAGGGCTCAGGAGCAGGACATAAAGACTTCTGTGTACCTGCTAGGACTATAAGGCAGAAAACCTGCTTTCTCTTGAATGTGCCAGGGCATGTGAGGAAGGATGGGTAACTGGGAGCTAGACCCAGAAGGCCCACCTGGCAGCAGGGCAGACTTACCTTTCCTCTGTGGATCCCAGGCTTTCAATTTCATTAGCGACTTCTGCTATCTCTTCCTTTAGCCTCTGTAAACAGAAGGAGTTACCAGGAGGAGAGCTGCAGACCAAAGCCTTTCACGCAGTCCCAAAACACAGCAGAACAACACGCACAAGGCACACGCAGAAACCCCGAAGAGGTCAATTAGGAGAATGTATTTACCAACCTGTTGGGCTCCCACCATACAGTAAGCACTTTAGGACTGCGAGGGTGGGAAGGTAGTTACTTAGCCCAGAGTTCCTGGGCAAGGGAAGATTGCTAGGTCCAAGCACTGTGTTAAAAAGGTGTACTCGCTAAAGAACAGCCACTCTGACACGGTCTTTCAGAACAGTCTGCAGTTCCAGGCACAGGTGTGATGGCGCTCACAGCATACAGGCACCCACACATTTGGCTGTCTGGGCCAGCAGAGGCTGTGCTGGACCTACCCTGTGGCCTCATGCTGTCATAACTGGACAAGAGACTGTCCCACCAAATCTGCTGACCATTCACTACCAGCCACTGCCTCCTCCTTCACTCAGGAGGGGCTGTCTCCATGTAGATGGGGTAAAAGTTCCTCCATGTTCCTAGAAGTTACCAGGGAAACAGGAGCCAGAGAAGCAGGGGAAACCATCGTAATAGTTCCGGTCATCAATGGCAAGCGGGCCTGTCCTCTCACAGCCCTGTGTGGTTTGGGACCCTCCTTTTCTCACCCCTGAAATCTCACAAAGGGCTTTAGAAGAGCAGCATTCAACTTCTCAGAGCAAAAATAACCCACCACATGGCTCCTACACCTTTTTTTTCCAAGACAGCCTGCAGTTTCACAAAGAGACTTGGAGAAACAATAATTGTCTACAGTCAGCAATCATCTCATCCCCTGTAGACACTATTGCATCCGGTCCTCACAGGAAGTTGTGAAAGTGCGGTCATTCTCATCCCATGACCAGGAAAGAACAGAAGTTTAAAAAAAAAAAAAAAAAAAAGCCAAACTAGAGCTGTACCCCATGCCCTCAGTTGGCAGGTAAGAGTCAGGACCTACAGAAGGTACTAACAAACCTGAGGCCTGTGTTCTTGGCATGTCAGCTGGGAACACTTAGTTAGGAGTCACATTAGCCACAGTAAATGGCAGGAGGGAGAGCCCCTCTGAGACTGGACTTCTGGTAAGTCAGGGTGACCACTAATCCCTGTACTTTGGCCCAGAGCTGTGGGGAGCACCAGCCCATCAGAGCATCCTGTGACACATATTCAGCCTCCCAAAAGCCCTCCAACCTGAATGTCAGCCAGCAGTTCCTGCTTCCTCCGCCGGATGTTCTCCAGTTCTTGCCGCTCTTCTGCAGTCAGGTCACTGGGAACTGCAAAGACAGAAATGGCACCATGAATTCCCCTCACAAAAAAATAACAAAAATTCCAAAGACTGTGACTGTGAAGGAAGCCAGAAGCCGATTTTGGAAATGGCAGGCAGCTAGGAATCACTCTGTGGGTTTATGAAGAGAGTTAGACCAGCTGAGCAAAGACAGCTCCAAACAGAGAACAGGAAGAAGACGCCACCAGGTGATCCAGCCTTGGCGAGGAGAGTGAGAGGCCTTTAAGTATCTGTCCAGCCAGTCTCCTGCCTCCTGCTGGGCGAGGGCAGCCCAGCCCTCACTTCCCTGGTGGTCAGAAGTGCCAGGAGCTGCCTCTGGCACATAAAGTGGAGCCAGGAGAACTGCAAAGCAACATGAGCACCTTAGTGCCATTTGGTGGGGTGAGAATTCTTTGCACACAGAGAAGAAAATCTAGAAAAGCACACAGCAAACTGAAAACAGCATTTCACTCCGGGAGCTAGGATTCTGAGACTCTTTCCAGCCTGGGTTGAATGTTCAGAGTGTGTACCCATCAAGACACACTCATCAAGACACTGCCATAGGCCCCAATGACTGTTCCTCATCTGAGCATGCCTCTGTCAGAAGAACAATAAGCACTAGAACCAACAAAGTGTCCCTGTCCCCACATCTTCAGTCCTCCCCCAACACAGTTCCCCACCCCAAGTCCCTACCACTCCAGACAGACTACATAAACCATTTATTTGGCCACATGCTGCCGACTTCGTGGGTGACTTGAGAAGGAAGTGCAATAGAGATCTGTTCCCTTTCTTTCAGGGGCACACCCCCAGCAGGCTTCTAAACCCACAGACAGACTGGTTTTATCTACACGTACATCCACATTGGAAGATTTTTCTGTCTGGCCCAGAAACAATCCTACACTGTAGTCAAACCTTTGGCAACCTGAGGTATAGCAACAAAACAAGTTAAGAGTTTCTCCCCATTACAGAGGGTCACAGACAGAGAAGGGTAGAGCAGGACAGTACAAAATTCATCCTGTTACTCAGAATGGCATGCAAGTGAATGCTTATGAATTGTTTGTTTCTGGAATTTTCCATTTGATACTTTGGGCTGCAGCTGGTGATAGGTAATAGTTGTAACTAAGATGCCTCAAGCTCTGCCTGGTATTTAGTAGGCAAAGTGTTGGTGCAGGGCACCCACGTCCTCAAGATGGGCAGAGACCTCTCTACAGGGCAGTAGTGGGGTTCATCAGCCACAGCTGAAGAGATCCGCAAACTCCAAGGAGGACTGCAAAGGTCTTCAAATTCAAAATGAAAATGACTGGACCCCCAATCCCCAGCCAAGAGGGGGACAAGCCAGAGTCATTTTATGGCCAAGTAGCAGAGAGCCAGACTCCTGGCCACATGGTCTAAAAGTGGTGTCAAGAGGAACACAGTGAAGGACACGGGACAGGGCCAACTCAGGAGCATAAGGATGGCAAACAACTCAGCTGGCGTGGGGCAGAGAACACGTAGAACAGGTTGGCATACCAGCTGTGGACTGCGGAGAGGGTATCACAAAGAGCAAAACAGACTGCAAATAAAAGAATGTGGAGCGTATGTGGTACATGTCTATAATCCCAGCAAGGGATACTAGGGAATGTTTGTAAAATGGGAAGGCACCACTCTACCTTCTCTTAAAAAATGAAAAGTTCTTGCAAAAAGAAAAAACAAACAAAAAGCAAACACATCTGGACACAGTCCTTGTGGGGGAGGTGAGTGGGGGTGTGGGTAGCCAGGGGTTCTGGAGCAGCTCACTCAGGGTCTGAATTCTTGCCCCTGTGCTACTTGCTGCTTGTTAGCTTTCCTTCAGAATCAGCCTGTTTGCAAAGCGTAAAATGTTCACCAAGGATGAAGAACAGCTGTTATCATGGTGACAGTGGTACCATGAAGGATGAAACAGGTGTGACAGGATGGGGCCACCTGACAGGCAAGCTCCCCACTGCAGACATAGGAGGACAAAGGAAGCAAGAGCCCGAGTGGAGACCAGGGATGAGAAGTCCACAGTGCAGACACACTTCTGGGATTTGCAAAGGTAAAGTAAAAAAACGAAAAGGCACAGCAAGCCACTCAGAAGAAGAGAGGGCGAACTGAGGCCTCTGTCTGTCACAGAGGAGGCCAGGGGTTCATCTCCAGCTCTGTCACAGTAACCAACACTGAAAACCCAGGCGGCACTAACTGACACCAAGGAGCTTTAGGTCTGAGATTAGAGCGATGGGATTACCATGAATGTTCACATGTCACATGTTTGACACAAACCCAGCGCTTCCAGGGGAAAGGCCTGTGTCCTTGCATCCAGACACAAATGGTTTCTAGCCAGCTTGCAGTTATAATAAAGATATTAAAAATAAAACATAAAAATGTGACATTTGTTGTCATTTATTTTGATCCAGTCTCCTGACAACACTAACCATGTGATCTTTAAGTTACTTCTTCTGTAATATTTAATAACCTGAAGTCAATGCTTTTTCCATTTTGGTTCAAAGAAGAACTAAGAATTGAAGAGGAAGAAAAAAAAATAAAATTAAATAAATAATTGAAGAGGAAGAGAAGAAGAAAGATGAGGAAGAGGAGGAGAAGAATCTAGATATCTTTTTATTTTCCTGGAATTTTGCTCTATGATAAGGGAATTTAATATTTAGAGAGAACTTTCCTCTGCAGAAACTCAGCAACATAGCGCTAAACCTCACCAGTGCAACACCAAACCTCACCAGCGTAACACCAAACCTCACCAGTGCAACACCAAACCTTACCAGCACACCAAACCTTTGGCTCAAGCCTTTGTGACACAGAAAAAAACAAATGCCAGCAATTGCTTCATTTACCTCAAAGAATCTAAATGATTGCTGGGTGCTGGAGGTGTGGAGGTTCCTGTGACCCTGGCTGATGACAGAGATGCTATGAGTAACAGAGCCATGCTGAGGACAAGGGAGAGAAGGATGAGGGGCACTGGGAGACCGGATCTACTGGACCTGGGGGCACCAGCAGGGAAGGCTATCTAACCCTGTGGACCGCCAGGGTTAAACTGCATAAAAGCATTCTCTGGCAGGCCAGATGGCAGAACAACAAACAATTTCCCCCTCCCCCACTGCCACGTGCTACAGCCACACTTCTGTGCCAGGAGGCGGTTAAACCCTTTTCTCTAAAAGAAAGGCCACTGGGCAGGACAGCAGGTTGTCCTCACCACAGTCTGAGACAATGGAGACAGATCAGAGGAGCCCTCCTGTCACAACATCACTCACCCTTGCCAATGCTGGAGCAGCCCATGCTCTAAGGTTAATTTGTAAGGTGTCCTGCCGGAGGCAGAGGACACAGTCCAGCACTGGTCTCCTTACCATCCATCCTTTCCCAGGTTCAGATTTAATGAAGGGGATTAAAGTGGCCAAACAACAAGGAGCCATTGTGCCGAGTTGTGAATGCAGAAGCCACACAAGGGAAGCTTTCATTTATTTATTTAAATGTTGCTTTGCAGATTTTAACTGTAGGCAGAAACCCAGAGCTGAAACATGGTCCAGCCAGCACATACAAAGGAGGACTGTCTTAAAGGGACGGCGCCTTCTTTTCAAGCCAAGGGCCAGAAAATGTGCACAGGATGGCAGGCGCCGGTCTAACGCCCTGCAATCCCCTCTCTGTCCCATGACAGCTGCCAGTGGTGTGCCATGAGGTCCCATTGAAGATGCAGCTCCTGTGGCATCAGGTTCCATTCAGCAGCCACTGCTCAAATGCATGGCGCTTAACCAACCCTAGTGGGTGCTGTGAAATCAGAGGGGTCCAGGCATGCTTTGGAATGGAGATTTCCTTCTTGTTGCTTTTTCAGGTCATCTTGCTCCTCTCAGACTCCTCTGCCTGGCTTGAAAACACACAACCTGTCTTGTCTTTCCCACCTCCTTCATAATTATTAACCAATATCCAAAGAGCCCCGGCCTCTCAGTGGATAAAAAGGGTCTACATTTAATACAGTAGAAACAGGGAGACATTTGAGAGTAACCAAGAACTGAGCCTTCTTGGAGCATCTACATTCTCCTTGCCATGAGGCAGATAAATATAAAGCATAGCTACCATGGCAATACCCCCAGCCCAGGCTTAAGGGTTCCCCATATTTCCAAACAGCCTTCCTTTAAGCCACCCTTTCCTATCCTGGACCTGGACAGTTTCCTGAACACTGAGCGTGCATATGGGTATTTCCTTTCTCTCCTCCCCATCCTTTCCCCACCTCTTGCTCACCTCCAACAAACCTAAGCACAGCCCAGAACTGCAGAGGTCCTCAAGTTTCCCTATACCCCCACAGAGCCAGCACCCACTCTGAGAGAACAGTGATATTCCAAGTTCCAAGAACACAGATACAGGAAGCTGCTGTTGGAACTTCCGTTGAGGCCCACAGGACCACAGTGTGAAGAGCCCTGAAGCCAGCACCTCCACATTACCAGGCACCAACTGTCTGCCCTCCAACAGACCTGACCAGTATGACCTAAGCAACAAGGCCAGGGTCTGTCCCCTCCAGAGGCTTATGTCACTTTGTCTCCCAGTGACTTACACTTTGAAAACTTTCAAAGTACTGGAAAGAACCTAGATGCTGCAGCCACAGCAGTACTCAGCAGCTGCTTATCTCTGTAAGAGGGAACTACCCACCCATCAATGTACCCATCAGGCTCAGGAAACAGGATAGCTGGTTCAGTGGGCACCCTGTCCTGAGCCAGGTCCCTTCACCTGCAGGTCCAGCTCACTCTCCTCCTCTCTTGCCTACATACTACAGATGCTCATTCAACCTCCAGCTACTGCTGCCTTGCAGCTGAGTGGCAGACTCTCCTTGACTGGAAGAGCAGCAGCCCAGAGGAGACCTGAATGAAGGCCATGGACAAGTTTAGGAGTGCATGTTAATGAGGGCCATGTCTACAGGCCACTGCATCCCTGGGGGACTAAGCAGGGCTGCTGGGTTACCTGTGGTCCATACTCACCAGCTGTGTGACCCTCAGCAAGCTTCTCATCAGTGTG